TTGCTCGGGCCACGACAGTCAGCCTGGACTGAGTTGGATTCGAGGAGAGGGTTCCATAAGTTGTTATTCTGGGGACCTTAATCCTTACTTTGTGTCTGTTGTTGTGTATTAGATGGTGGATAATGCCTCAAGTGAAGAGGCTATTTGTATGATAGGAAGAGTACGAAGGCTGTACCTGGTATGGGGCCGTGGTTCAGTCAGAGATCTCGGATGCAGTGTTCATGAAGTCGATAACTAATCCTTAAATGGCGATTCGGATTCTTGTGCGAGGTGTATTTTTCTTGCTGAGGTGTATGTTATGACATCATCTCAGAAATGGCAGTGTTCTTGTTGGAATGGTTTCGAGGAGAAAGGTAGGGAACGAAGTGCCATGGCGGTCAAGGTGATTGTTTTAGCCTGTGATGTTGAATATCACGACAACCAATTTGACAAACGGTGATCTGAGGCTGTCTTTTCTCGAAGACTTTTGATCTGTACCTGCAGAAATCTGTACCATTTCATCGGGGTAGGTTTGATGTGGAAGCCTGTGACGTAGAGACCCCCCCTGATTCGAGATGAATTTAGGTCACGTGTATTGACAGGGTGGTGGAATGATGAAACAGGCACTACTGGTATGGTCGGCAGTGTAATTAGATGTTCAACTCGTCGCACGGTATTAAGCCGGCCGTGATGACTACAAATGTCATCATGGCGACTAGCGGTGCGTACATAGACCTATGGCTATGTCTGCTTCTTTTGAGAATGGTACAATGAGACGGGAGCCTGGAATGCCACTACACTATCGCTATGGACTGCCACCGATCTACTCTTCACTTCTTGATATTGGTGTTCTTGGAGATTGTCCGTGGAGTGAGAAATTTCACCGTGTATTTGTTCCTTATAATCGACGCGGCATATTAGGAGATGAATGGTATCACCATGTTCATTAGGGTGTCCTCCGCTGTACCCGCGCTTCTGAATAATCGTGACGCAAAACGGGTCAATTGTTGAATCTTCTCAGCTGAGCAGGCGTTTACTGTCCGCTTGATATAGACGCACTCATTGCCAATCTCATATCCCGGAATGTTCTATGGGGTGTTGAGTTGGACATGATGAGGTGTATGATGATCGCAGATGCGTATTGGATGATAGGAGTTTTGTCACTGCGGTTTTGCTGCAATTGGAGGTGTAATTGCATTTTGGATAATCCTGTAGTCCTACGTGTCATTACCATTGTACACGTATGCGAGAGCGGCGATGTGGCAATGGCATCGTGTGGTCCAACGGATTATAGAAGTACTATCATTACGGTTTTGGTATGTGGAAATGTTTTTCTGTGTGCCGTGTATGATTTACTTCATGTTCATTGTATGTTCCTTTGCCGGTGCAGAGGCTGCGAATATTTTGTCAATAGCACGTGTGGTCTTGAAG